TTTGATACTGACGCCTTCTCGTTCATTTCGGCCTCTTTCGCCTTGAATTCAAAGAAAAAATCCCCACCCACAAGCCAAAAAACAAAGAATCACCACCCAAAAAGGCAGCAAATGGAAGAGAGGGGGAAAGAGAGAGAGATTGTAAATCTCTGTCTCCGTCTGTTTCTCTATTTTCGGCGTATGGGTGCATAGTATGCAGGTGGCTGAACAGATTCAGAGGAAAACAGTTGAAAACTTCCGAAAAAGCCGGTTGTAGATCCTACATGCACAACCTTCGGTCGAGTGTTTTTCATATGAGTGCAATCACTGACAGAACTACAAGGAGACCAACGGGAGCCATGGCCCCCTCCCTCATATTTTCAAAATTACTCTATTTCCCCTTTTAGGTTTTCTAGAATTACTCTATTTTCCCTTTTAGGTTCTTTTTGTATAAAGGATATCCAATTAGTGTATTCGAAAAAGTATAATAGCATGACATTAAATATTTACTAACTAAATGCGAATATTGTTCATATGGACGAGTGGCTTTTTATACAAGAAAATACTTATTTGGACAAATTTGATGACCAAAGGGAGAAGAAAAATGTGCTGCAAAATTAAGGTACAAACGTCATTTTATATCATATGAATATTTAATGGTATATAATTTAAAATTTTTGCAGGAGAGAATTAGTTGTCCTTAAAATTATTACAAATTAAATTTCCTAATGATAAGTAAAAAATAGTTTTTGGATTTTCCAGACTAAGTTTTTGTGAGTATTTCATAATTAAAACTATAATACTAATACTAATGTGTTGGATGATCTCATTCCATTAACTTCTTAATTGTGTCACTGTTTTATCTGGCACCTCTTGTGATAAATTTTTGGTTTCGTCCCTAGGTGTAATGGTGCAGCAGGTAGTCAACTAGATGGGCCACGGGCCCACCATAAAAAAATTTTAATAAATTATTATTTACATCTATTTTAAATAAATTTTTATATATTTCATGATACCCACCCTATATATATTTTGTTTCCCACCTTATCAATTTCTTATCTTATCAAGTAGGATAGGCACATACTATTTAACTATGATATTTTTTATATTTTTTTAAGTTATAAAAACTCAGAATCAAATCAAAAAATTGATTTTATTATTTATATAGAGACAAATATTATCTATTGTACTGATAATAAAATTATTATACAACACTTTTAAAATATAAAAAACCATCCAAATGAATTGTAAATAATTGCAATTAGTTTTTTTTTAGTGTTTTTCTTTATATACACTATGTATAACGACGTTGAACTATTTTGTATCTAATGAACGTTTGAGTATCAAATATTTTTATCGAGTGGAGAAAAAAAAAAATTAAGTTTACAGTGTCCATTCTGAATAAAATTTTTGGCGGAGCACCAAGTGAATTACGCTTTTCCGCCCTCAACTATGATCTCCATTTCACATTATCCCACCAGCAATTAAATGGAAGGTTTAATTATTTTGGACCAATATCCAACTTCCATTAACTCTTTTTTCTTAATAGATGATACAGTAACATAAAAGGAAGAAAAATTGGAATTAGACTGCACTCCCAGCCACAGAAGGGGTACCAAACATACAGCCATGCCGATGAAGCCAGCTTTATTTACCTTGGGGAAAAACAGTCCTCATTTTAGGCGTCCGCCACCCCCATTAATACCAACAATCAAAATTTCTCGTTTCTTAGGAACTGAAACGAATTAGTGATAAAATCAAAATTTTAATATTTTATATTTTATAATATTTCGAGACGTTTTATAATATTTCAATGTATTTGCACAATTGTTTCAGAATGTTTTAAGGTATTTCAAGATACTACTTGTATATTTCAACCAATGTTTTGAAAAAAAGAATTATTTTTTATTTTTTAATTATGTTTCTAAAAATTATTTGAAACGTTTCCAAAACACATTCAAACGTTTCCGTTTCTTAAATGATCAAAACAATGCACCGAAACGAAATTTTGATCCTTGATTAATAAATAAAAGGCTAAGCAATCATAAATTTGGATCCCTGTTTCAAAAATCTGTATATCACATACATTTGTTTTGCTGATGACTAGCTATTGTTTTCTACAAGATACTGATTCTATAAAGAACTTTTAAAAACTGTCCACAAGTCTGTCTCCAGATTTCAGGTCTCTCAGTCCATGTAATGAAAATTACATTGTTCTGTGGAGGAGTTCTTACCCCAAGTTAAAGCGGAAATCATTGCTGAACTGTGGGTAGAGGAAGGGCACCTGCCAGTTAATACCTCAGATTCCCTTTAGTATCCACTAAGCTTACACATAATGGCAAAGTGCCCTTGGTTGAGAAGATAACAGCCACAACACTTTCTAGACAGGGAGACTCCTCTCTTATGCAGAGAGATTACAGCCATTTAATTGGCCATATATTCTCTGTGAGTCTATTAGAGCAGTGTTACATTTTGCCCAAAAAAGTTCATAGAAATGGTGGAATGGAAGCAAAGTGCAAAAAGTTTAGCAGTTGGTTCCAGCTTGGGAGCCCTGTGCACCCAAAGGAGAATGGTGACTTGGGTATCAAATGTATGGAGGAATGAATGGAGCAGCAATCATGAAAGTTTTATCGGTCATTAACACCAATGCAGACATGCTATGGGTCAAATGGGATCATGAAAAATGAACCAAAGGATGGTGTGTATGGATCTTGAATATCTCACGTTACTGCTCATGGGATTGGACCAAAATGCTAAAACTAGGAAATGAATTTGCACCTCTGATTTACAATGTGATTGGTAATGACCAGAATACCTAACTTTGGTATGACAATTGGCTATTGGGATGTCTGATGGACAAACATGGGAAAAATGCTGTTGTTGCCTCTAGCATAGACCTCAATGCAACAATATCAGAATGCATTCAGGGAAGCTGGTGGCACTTTCCAGATTCAAGATTCAGTATTATACATGAGGATCCAGGATATAAATTATGCACATGATTTGGATCCACCTAATAATAATAATAAGGATCCAGGATACAATGTTATGGAAACCAAATGGCAAGAGCATCTTTAAGGGGCAAATAGTACTCAACACCCTAAAGCGTGATCCGTCCCAATCTCTCTTTAGCCCTTCTATAATCAATTCTCTCATACGTTTCACTTTGCCCTAAAAATCCGAATCCATGGGTGCTTTCTGTCCAAAACAAAACAGATGTTTGACTTTAGGGTAATGTGAAACAAATTCAAGAACATGAATGTGCAATGTTAGAAACTCAATGGTAGAGGTAAAAATGTGTAATCGGGGTCATAGTTTAGGGGAACAAAATGTATTCTACCTTATTTACTATTCACGGTCCATAAGGGTCCCTTCAGCAACATCCATGGCACCACATAGCCTGACCTAAAGGACACATATCTCTGCTTTCTTTCATCTTATTGGCTCACTCCCAGACAGAAGCTACAGACTCAAGATGTCTTGGATGCTAATAGGATCATGGAAACATCACGATGTGATATTCGCCAACCTTTACCAGAAAATATACAGAACTTGTATTCTAGGTGTTGATAAATGAAAGCAGTTTTTAACGCAATCCTCAAGAAGACAGCTTTGGTAGCCACTTAAACAGTTTATGGAAAGGGAAAAAACAATGGAGCATTGGGCAACACCCCTCCAAAAGATAAAATCATAAAGAAGACGAGAGAGGAAGTAAGAATTAAATCTACTGTGCAAAAGAATGTGGAGGATACAGGATACTACCAGAAATCCTGAAATTGCCAGGTGGAACATTTCGATCAAGTTTGGAAGTAAAGGAGACTTCGCGCTCATGACTGCCTCAGTTAGTATTAACCAGTCCCCAAATTTGAAGCCAAAAAGGTAGCATCAATTTACAAAAATTAAAGAACAATAGAGATAGTTAGAGCAAAATCTTGACGAGCTCATAGACAAATGGAAGCTGAAGGTCATATGGAGATTCAAAAAGGTAGCCACGAAGCCTTGGACACATAAAAAGGTAGCTTTGAATAAGAGGTATTGGGAATAAATTGATTCTTGATTTATTGAGAAATGGTCTAATAGATTGGAACTCACCACCTATCTTTAGTAATTATCCATACAACATTTTTTGACATAAATTCCTTCATCATGTTGTTTTTAAGTTATAAAAATTTATGTCCTGCTTCAGGTTGTCTTTAAGTGGAAAAACATTACCACATTCAAACACATTAGTAATTTTTCAAAATGAAAACTACGAAAAAAATTCATTAGTTTTGTGAGGCCTGAATAGGAAGAAACAATAGATGAATCATTAGTCACCTTGAAAAAAGATGATCAGCCATTTGCCTACCTAAGAAACCCTTATTGAGGAAGACATCCAGGTGATGAAAGCAATTATGGGAACACCTCATCTTCAAACCTATTTTGGATAGATCAAGTCTATAACACTCCGAAATGTCAACAGTAGTAAGATTCAAATATAACTCCTAAACAACTAGACTTCAACACTGCCTTCTAGCTTACCTAGGCTTCATGATTACTTCCTTGAATCTTCAGACGACTTCTAGCCTCTTATTTGTCCATAAGACCCCAAGCTTGGAGCTAACCACTGCAACAGTTGCTGGATCTCCTTTAACTTTGCTTCCATTTTTGCAAAAAACTATGCATCCCCTTTAGCTATACACCCACAGTATAGCTATTGCATAGGGTTATCTACTCTACTATATAAGAATCAAATTATGAGGGAAAGTACTTAGGAAGTCTTCCCTCCCCATTTCCCCATTTTCTAACATTTTGAACTTAGTTAATTCGAACCCATTAATAGGTGGTACTCAATAATAATATCAAAATCGGATGGATGGGATAATAATTTAATCAATACTTTTCCACCATATCAAAATCGGATACGACTGGATGGGATTCCGAAAATTGCAGGGGAGCATGGCTAGTATCTATAATGCACATACATAACCACATATATACAACCAACCACATGATATAGCTATTTGATTGGGTTATAGCAAATACTGCAGATAAAAACACATAAAAATAACCACATAGCATAGCTATTGGATAGAGTTATCATCAATAATGCAAAGAACTACATACACTCACAAAATACATTATGAATTAAAATTGAGAAGTCTGTTTCCAGTACTCACAAGAAATGAAACCAATCAATCTTGGCGGACTTCATTGGGAGTTTTTGCGACAATAGATAGGGCATGCAAGCCGGACTGAAGTTCATCGGCCAAGAGATCGTACACCATACGGTGTCGTTTCACGAGGCTCTGGCCGTCGAACTTGCTCGACACGATCTTCACATCGAAATGCGTCTCGTTGTTAGGGTTTTCTCGCACGGCGGCGTGGCCTGCGTGCTTGTACGACACGTCGTCTACCTCCAAAACGGTCGCCTCCAGTGCCGTTTGGAGCTTTGATTTGATTCGGCTTGCCCTAGATAGCAGTGCATTGGCTCCTCGTGATGTCATGGGCTCTGCTCTGTTTTCTTCTGTTTGGTTGCTGGGAAACACTGAGAAAACGAAAGGAAAATTCACTCCACACACTCGCTAGCCATAGCATTACTCAGAGAGCATATTGCCCTAGATAGCAGTGCACTGATTCGTTGATAATTTAGGATCCACTATTATGCAAATCACTGAGCAGTAGATGACATATATCATAATATAAAATAAACAGCAAGCACAACCCTCAGAGCCTTGAGCATTACCTTACTCCTCAATTCCACCTTTAAATCTTGCAAAAGAAGTTTCTGAGATATTCTAAATTGTGAATTGTAGTTGAATTTGTGAATTATAGGCTAAAAATAACTGACCTTGAATGGAATCACGCGCACCAGAGTTTTCCATTAGCGTAATCTCAATAAATATATATAGGGTGTACAACACCGAGAGACAAAAAAAAAAAAAAAATTTATTTATGAATATTAAAAATTATGACAGTTATAAATATGACCGTAGTCTGTTATGACCGTTAAAAAATTAAAATTTTAAAATTTTAATTATACGACCGTTATAAATATAACTGTTATTAATAGAAATTAAATTTTTAAAATTTTAATGATGTGACGTAACACGTCAATATGATATCATTAATATGGTGATGTCATGATATGTTACATAGTATTTTAAATTTTAATAATTAATAATTAATTAAAATTAGTTAAAATAGACGGTTGTTGGAATGAATTAGTTTGAGTTGGTATTTAAAATAATTAGTGTAATAAAAAAATATATTTTAGCCGGTTATTATTTGGAGTTGCTATTATGTCAGATCCAAATAGAATTATCAATTATAATGATGACCTTACGTTTCAATGTATTCTTTGACCATTCCCTCATAATTCATAAATTTTTACGAGACTCAATTGAAAATCTTTATTGCACCAAAAAAAAATAGAAATGTTTATACTAAGGCGGTAATGTTTTTATTTTTAGTTTTTAATTTTTATTTTCAGTTTTGACAAAACTAAAAATAAAAATATATTTGGAAAAATTTTATTTTTGTTTTCTTTTTTTTTTTTAATTAACAACGTTGTTAGCTTATAAGGTCTTTTTGAAAACGGAAAAACTAAAAAAAAAATGTTATATAACTCCAATGAAACTAAAAAATTAAAACACAAATGCATATCATCTCTTTGATGAGTGGGTCTCACTGAAAAAATTGATGGGACCCACTTACCCAACAAATGATATGCATTTGAATTGTAATTTTTTCGATTTTATTTAAATTTTGTAGCATTGCTCAAACTAAAAACACGAGAGTGAGTTGAAATGGAGAATTTGTGTGAAATCAAAATTATTTAACAGTACAGATATGGGTCAAAAATAGTGAATGTGTGCAGTGAAAGTAATTAGAGACAGTGTATTCTTTTTTTATGTCACATTTTTTCTTGGAAGAGATAATATATATGACTAATAACTTTGAAATATAAGGAGAATGTTATTTCATTTATAAATTATCAAAGTTGACTGAAAAAATAAAGTAAATATCAACTACTAAATATCAAAAATAACTAAAAAAAATAAATTCAAATATCCTAAAAAATATTATAATTTATCCGTAAATTAACATTAAGTTACCAGGCAAACACTTGTTGCAATAGGTGTAAAATAACATGGCACATATTGATATTTGCTTAAACCGTCATTGCAAGGTTTAAAGAGGATTAAATATATATAACTTTACTCCGGTAAATAGTAAATCTGTTTCTAGAACTCGAACTTGTACTCTAGATCACAATAAAATAATTTTATTGTTACACCAAATATAACCCTTAGCAAAATCCTTTGTTAGTGGGAAAAAATATGCTATCAATTAAAAAAATATATATTTACCATTAACATTGCCCCTTTTTCTGGCCTCAACAAATTTGAACTGAATTTTGAAAGATAAATGATGTAATTTTGAATAGAAAATTAATTAAATTCTTTAATGAGGGTGTTCCTATCATTTTGGAATTATGATAGGGGTAGCATGATAATAAACTCACACATCGGGGGAAGTGATTGTAATTTACCCAATTAATAGAGGCAATGGCAAAAGGCGAAACAGAAAGGAATGCGGTGAGCGTGGATCGAACACGCGACCTTCAGATCTTCAGTCTGACGCTCTCCCAACTGAGCTATCCCCGCAAGTTGTATCTCAGCTTTAAGATAAAAAACTTAGTGAACAAGAACTTTTATGCTCGAAAGAGAGAAGTAGTACTAACGTCCATCGAATACAAAATTTGTGAACAACAGTGTTTTATTTTAAGAACATATAATTGGTAAATGGTGTGCCAATTATAAGAATTTATCGGACTATTTTCTATGCACCAGAATCGCTGTCTCCGATTGCGCCTATGGTTCCAAGCTCCACATTTATCCGAATAAAGTAGCAGCGTATTTAAGTTAAAAAAAATTCAATAAAACATATAATTACAAGTCAATTCAGTTAAAAAACAAAAGAGAGATCACCTTCCAAAAAAATAAATGAGTGAAAGAGTAAGGTACATTGGGCAAAGAGATGTGTGATGGCGTAGAGATACTTTCACCACTATATGCTAAGAATTCAAGATTATAATTAAAAACTTGTTGGTGGAAGTGCCCACCCAGGAGTTCATTGCTTGCTCCGTCCATGCTTAGGCTCTAGCAGTCACAGTAATATAGATTCTTGGACTTCCTAACTTTCGGTACCCCAAATTCTATTTTTGCTACAACTTATTGTTGACGGTGATATTCAGGATTATAATCTTTTGCACCAATGTATGTACATTTGACGGTGATAGTTTTTGACCCAACTAGTTTTATTTAATGGACCAAAAGTCTTCGACTCAGGTCAATGAGCCATTTTTTGAAGTCACAGTCCAATGTATGCTCTAAATATTTTTTGGAGTTTTTGGCCCAAATAATTTTATTTAAAGGACCAAAATAATATAACCCAAGTCGATGGATAATTGTTTGGAGCCAAATTCCAATTATACGTTAAGTACAAGGAGTTTTTGGCCACATAAGTTTTATTTATGAAATTAAAAGTCATCAACCCAGGTCCATGGACCATTTTTGAAGCCAATGTCCAATGTATACGTTAAGAATTTTTCTTGTACACGGAGTTTTTTGCCTGATTAGTATTGTTTAATCACGGTTAACAATAAATTGTAGCCTCATGTTTTACTTACTGTGCTTTTCAACTGAATTGACCCTAGTTAATAGCCTTGAATAAATCCATTTATTTTTAATTATTTGTTCGCATCCACACCTCTTAAGGTACGAGCGTTAATACATTTATTACACGTAAAAACATTCCAATAAAGGTGTAAATAATGGTTAATAACTAAGAAATTATAAGTACAAAAATTNTTTTGTATCCAATAAAGGTGTAAATAATGGTTAATAACTAAGAAATTATAAGTACAAAAATTAGAAAAATCTATAACATCACGAGACCTTTCTCATAGAGGTTTGAAAATTTCAGTCATATAGCATAACCATGGTATAAGTCTTAAAAGTTTTTTTTTTTTTTACTTCTACTTATGCATTCATTTAAATAGAAAAATCACGTTTAACTAATTTTAAAGTGATTTAAATAAGTATACTCAAATACTAATTTTTTTAAAATAATTATTAGAATTTATAACATCTTAAAAGTGTTTTTAAGTCATTCTAAATACCACTTGAATAAATATGATTGAAATATAAGTATCTGAATAANTGCATTCATTTAAATAGAAAAATCACGTTTAACTAATTTTAAAGTGATTTAAATAATTATACTCAAATACTAATTTTTTTTAAATAATTATTAGAATTTATAACATCTTAAAAGTGTTTTTAAGTCATTCTAAATACCACTTGAATAAATAAGATTGAAATATAAGAATCTGAATAAAAAAAAATTGGAAATATGAAGGATCAAAGTGATCATTCAATTATTTTTAAGTGAGATGGTTATATTAGCTTCGGTTAATTCAAGTTTGTTGTTTTTTATTGAACCAAAATATTGTAAATTAAAAAATTGATGGATGAAAGTGTTTAAATTAAAAGAGTAAAGCTCAAAAGGGTGTTGTTTGAGATTATGTTTCTTTGATAAGATAATGCAGGCAATGACAACATGATTAGGCGCTTGAGTTAATTTCTCACGGTATGCAAGTTAGATATTTGAAGGTGTTCCTTATATCAGAATTGTAGAGTGTAATTTTATTTATCGCCCGAAATCAACCANTATGTTTCTTTGATAAGATAATGCAGGCAATGACAACATGATTAGGCGCTTGAGTTATAAATTTCTTACGGTATGCAAGTTAGATATTTGAAGGTGTTCCTTATATTAGAATTGTAGAGTGTAATTTTATTTATCGCCCGAAATCAACTAATAAGGAAAAAAACTTAGAAAAGTCCATACTATTATGAGATCTTTCTTATAAAGGTTTGAAAATTTGCACAAACATGATATTAGTTGATGTGTATAAGTCTTAAAAGCCTTTTTAAGTAATTTCAAACTATTTTCACTAATTCCTTTATCATTTCTCATGACATAATTGATCTTAAGTAGAATTTTATTCATCGTAATTTTTTCGTTATTAATAATTTTTCATGGTCTTTAATTTTTTTTTTTGGATGTTTTGCACCAAGGNTCATTTCTCATGACATAATTGATCTTAAGTAGAATTTTATTCATCGTAATTTTTTCATTAATAATAATTTTTCATGTTCTTTAAATTTTTTGTTGTATGTTTTGCACCAACGATAATTGTGTTGTATATATTTTTATTATCTTCTAATTCTTCAGGATCTATTAATTGTTCATTTGCAAGACCTTAACTTATTTTTCTATGATATTTTGTTTGCTGGTAGGAATAAACAAATCATTTTGATATTCAAATATTTTTAAATTCTTTATTTTTTTTTAAGCATAATTTTTCATATTCAGATCATTATTTTCGAGTCGCTATATTTATAATACATAATTAAAAAATTAATTCTAAATAACTATACGGTATCTATTATTAANTATTAATTGTTCATTTGCAAGACCTTAACTTATTTTTCTATGATATTTTGTTTGCTAGTAGAAATAAACAAATCATTTTGATATTCAAATATTTTTAAATTCACTATTTTTTTTTTAAGAATAATTTTTCATATTCAGATCATTATTTTCAAGTCGCTATATTTATAATACATA